TGTATATATATACACACACATATTATGACATATAATCCTATATGTCAACCTGTTTTTAAGCTGTGGTGGTAGCCAAATACTTGATCAAACACTGCTCTAGACATTTCTAGGAGAGTGCTTTTTGGATGAAGCTTACATCTAAATCTATGGACTATGAATAAATAATTGGTGGGCTTCGTCTAATCAATCAGTTATGGGCCTGAAAAGAGCAAAAGGCCATTTAGACCCACAGAGAATTCTCTAGTAGATTACCACTGGATTAAATCTGCAGTTCTACTCTGGGTCTCTATCCTGCCATCTTCTCCTATAAGACTTTGGACTTGCCAACCCGCCACAGTTACATAAGCCAACCATAACCTCTTCAGTACATGCATACATCCTCACAGGCCTGTTTCCTTGGAGAACTGTCAGGAATGCACTCAGTCTCCAGTCAGTAAGTGACACAGAAATGATTCCAAGCCCTTACCCAGTGACACTATTTCCTCTTGCTACTTGACAGATCACCAATATCTAAAGATAACCATAGCTCGCCAATAGAATTTTATGTTCCAAGGATGTCCCAACACATTGCTTAATAAGCCTTTAGATTAGAGCCTGTGTCACCGATTGGTGACATAAGACATTTTTATTGTAATAGCTGTAACTGAATTTCACGGGGGAGCAGGAAATAACTTTCTCGTGTGTTCTGGGAAGACAACAATATTAAACAATAGAAATGAGCTGATCAAACAACATAGAATTGATCTGAGCTGTTGTAATACGTTTTACCTACAATGCTACATTTTAGATGGTTTTGTTTTTTGCAATGCTACACTTTGGTGCATTCACAGAAAGAAAAAGTATGCTTAGTCTGGAAATTATAGGGTTGAAGAACTGGTATTGGGGACAGAGATAGGAGTTTATAGACATCTTGAAGAAGGTCTTCCAGCAGGCTCATATGCAGGTGTTTCAGGAACTGTACTTTTCAGTGAATTCTCCACTGCATATTAATTGTCAGAGGTATCTGCAGTGTATGCATGAGACCAGGATCTGCAAACATCTTGCAGGCATCACTGTGAGGCAAAAGCAGTTCTCAGAGTGGCTGTTACACCCTTCCCTCTGCACCTTTCCCAGATTATCCTGCATTATTAACCTAACATAATCCCACCCCAAAGAGATGCAATTTAGAATACTGCCAGGAATGCGTTGGTTAAGCTAAGGGAACAAAACTCTAATGGTGAAATGGCAGAGACGGTGACACTGCGTAGGCAGCCAGCCTTATGCTGTACCTCCAATCCTAACCCACAGGTCAGCCACCCAGGCTGAGCCAACCTTCTGTGGGAACAGGTTCACAGCCCCATCACAGCCAGCCTTTGGGATGATGGAATT